TCCCAACCTGCAACACCATCGAAGAGTTTCTCATTTGAGCCGTAAATAGTAGAGATTAAGCAAACTACTGAATCATCAAGCTAAACTACGAACCGCAGGTTTCCATCACACACAGAACAACATCCAAGGCCTCTCCATTTTGCCCAAGCCAAAACCAAAGGCAGATCCTACAGCGGTTTACAAATCGGAAGCTTCACCCAACACGGTTCCCACTTCAACGTCACTCGCCTCCTAACAGAGCCAAAACCCTCGCATGAAACCAACCTCCTCTGCATTCAAGATCCACACGAAATGGTTGAATCAAAAGAACTGAATAGCCAACCTGAAGTATTGAATCAAGTAATTGCGTCCCGAAGTTGCCCCACATTACAACCCGGAGAGATTTTGCAAAGAGCCTCGTCATGAAGACGAAAGTGAATGATCGAGATGCATGACTTCATTGCATGGACAAAAGGGCGGATGGATTCTCCACCGTGTGGCAAGCCACCTTTCAATTTTACTTTAAAAGCGTGGAAATTAAAATTCGAAGAAATATAATTGAAAGGACTTAAGAAAATTATAATTACACCTCTTTTTATTAGGATGTGGAAGAAGATGCATTTTTTTCTCTTTCTTTTCTTTAATCAACTAGTAGTAATATCCATTTTTCTTGTATAATTACACTTATGGAATTACATTTTTTTTCTAAATATTTGTATATTTAATTAAATAAAAAATCAGTTTTGAGTGTGTTTAATACAATTTTATTTATAATTCATCATAAAAATATTTTCTAATCTCTCTTTGGGTGTCATTCATTAAATATTAATAAATATAAATAAATAAATAAATAATAAACAAGATCTCAAATTTTATCTTTTTAGACCATTTTTGCTTATTCTAACTTCAAAGTATAATAATAATACAACCTTGCGAAATTTTCATTATTAAATAATATGAAAAATTTTAAGTTAAAAATTAATTTACAATCACAGAAAATGATAAACCAATATTCTTTTTAATCTTAAGAATTTAATTATACATATGTATATGTTTAAAATCAGTAAAATTTGCATTATTGAACACTAAACATGGAATAAAATAAAATAAAATAAAATACCCATGTACAATAGAAAATTTTCTTAATTACTTAGGAATTAGCTTCTATCAAACAGAGCTGGAAAATGTATTGTACAATATCTTATCTATATAGCTGCAAAGTCAATACTTCATTGTCCATGTAACTATCAACACTATTCCCACAAACCACATCTTCTACTTGATCCCAAACTCATTCACTTTCCAACTATGGACATCAATCACAAATCTTTTCATTCACTTAAAAGCCTTACAAGTAAATATATACATATATTTGTATATATATATATATATATATATTGTAGTCTTCTTCACTGTAGCCAAATGCTTTGGGGAAAAAGTAAAGTACAAAGTACAAAGTAAATGATAAAGTTAAAATTAAATGGAGACTTTGCATTCTTCGACATAAAGAAATCGTGTCATAATTCCATGAAACCAAAACATAAGAAATATGGAAGGTTTACAAGTTCCCACCCAACTTGGCAAACTCCGAATGAATACGGGAAGGACGAATGAACTCCAGATGAAAACCACGACAATAACCTTCATCGAACGATGGCGGTAGTTTCATCCATCAGTGGGGTAAAAAAACAGGGTGGTAAAGTCACTCTCTCCCTATCATTGTCGATTTATTATGCACGAGAATCCTTCCTATTCCTTCGGAGCTCTTTCAATGAAATATCGACACGAGTCTAGCTCGTTTATTGTGGATGCCGTGGGGACTACACGGTGAAAGGGTCCTCTGAACCTATCACCACGATTCGTCCCTTGCCCGTTCTAGACTTCTATTTTGACAAATTCCCGTGGTCATCCCCTTTATTTAGGGGTGCCTCCGACAACCACCGCCAAACTAGTGAGCCCATCACTATAGGGGGGTTCATTAAGTTTGGCGGATGTGGCTGCCTTCGGAATCAATATCCGCTCTCTCTCTCTCTATTGTTATTTATTCGCTCATACTTATTATTTTTATAATTATTATCATTATTTAATTGGATTTATCTTAAATCTCAGAATTTTAAAGTAGAATAAATTCTATTGTGAGATTGATTTTTTTTGGGGGGGTTTACTTTATTGTCGAAACATGTGTGTATTGTACATATCAAAAAGGAACGCAATCATTTGGAGAAACACATTTGACAGGTTTTTTCTTAAAATAATGTGAGTTGATATTGTGGTGGAATGTGTGATGGATACTTAAATATTGATACGTCTATCTGGATTAATAAATTTTATAGCATGTAATGTTTTTTGAAAGATAGTACATTAATTATATCTATGAATTCAATAAGCAAATTAATTAGTATCAATCATTGTCTATGCCTAGATTTAAATGAAATGATTATGGAATAAAAATTCAGAATTAATATTTTGATTTTGAGAGTCAACTAAGCAGCTTATTCTTTAAACGAATTCTCTTTATCAATTGGGTATTTTATAATCATATTGTTAATCAAAAATTTAATAGATATGGTATCTTCCTTTCAATCTACTTATGTTTCAATATTGGTAGTGTGTGTATATTTGAAAGAAAAATTCCACACACAGATCGAATACACTGTATATGTTTACATCAAATATCAAATCAAAACTAAAGAAATCTGTGTACTTTTCAAAAATGTATATAAATCATTTAGCACATTCTTTTGACTTCAAACCTGTTCACACACTAGAATTTTGTAGCTAACGAAACTGAAGAAAAAACAGGTGTTTAATACTTACATTTGACTTTTACATAATTATATTTTCAATGTTAGTTTCTCATCATGTAGATGTAAATTTTCGTACAGAAGTCTTCAAAATAATGAATTTTATTAATGCGATTTTTATTTGATAATTTTTATTTGTCTCTCTTGGTTTAGCAATGTCTTCATATGTCCTGTATAATGTTTGTGTACAATTAATTTAGTGAAATATTCTCTTTATATTCATAATACACTTGATATTCACACAAACGATTTAACAATTATATAAATTGATTGTAAAGTTTTCAAATTCCTTTTGCAAAATAAATTGTACTATTAGAACAAAAAAATATATATAGAACAAAAATATATATATATATATATGTATAATTATGAATTTTGGAGACATAAATATCTATATATGTACATATATATATATATATATATATATATATGTATATTCTCAAATGTGAAGCTTTTCCAACAATACTGGGTTTATTTGTTTATTTTTGTCTGCTCAGGCACACCTCATCCATCCATGGATAGATGGATAGAGTGGGAAAGGGGCGGTCCCATCCTTGGAACCCACCCAAGCAGTATCCTGTCCTGTCCTTGCCTTGCCTTGCCTTTCCATTTCCCTTTCCCCTTCCATGCCCTTCCATTGGCTTCCCTTCAACCAGCAATTGACGAAGCCAAATTAAGAGAGACAAGCAATATCCAAAGGGGCAACCAAGTGCTCCTCTTCTTCTTCCTTCTTCCTTCCTCATATTTCCTCTATCCTCACAAGGAAGGAAGGCTGTGTGCCTCCCATATCTGAGTGAGTACTGACCAAGGAGTCTCAGTCCATGAGGGAGGCATGTTCTCCATCTTAACTCTGACTTTCACCATCACATTATTGTTGCTGTTGCAGTGATAGCATCTTCAAAGACTTGGGAAGGGGAGGGGAGGGGGGCACACACCTCCTCTCACTAAACTCCCTCTGTTTTTATTATTGATCTGGCAAGCATTGTTTTCCCCATCCCCATCCATGCTCTTCCCCCTCCCCCTTTTGTTTCCACCCTAGTGACGATCCTGGCATTCATCTCATCTACTCCCAAAAATCCCCCCCCCCCCCAAGTGCCCCAAACACAACCATGGATGGAATCTCATACCCCCTAACTAACTGGCTGATGTTTAATAACAGCAACAGATCTAAGTGGCATGAAGATGTTTTCCCAGTGGGGGTTCGTGGGCTTTACGGCATGACCCCCCCCCCGTTCAGCAACCAAAGTGGAATTCATGGAATGAGAAGAATGGGGTGAAAAGTAAAAGGCGAAGCAGGGGAGCGGAAAGAAGGAAAAGGATGGGGGGGGGACACATGCAACAGAGAAGGGAGGCGCCGGAAAGAGGAGGAGCGGATCAGCGAAGCGCGGAGGACGAGGGAGGAGGAAGAAGAAGAAGACGAAGAAGCAGAGAGAGCAGGAAGGGGGGCATTTGCAGCAGGAAGTAACCACTATTCCACCATTCTGGAAGCTGACACAAAGCAAGAGGAAGAGCAAGAGAGGGATCGAGAGAAAAGAGAGAAAGAAAGAATTAGGGGAAGAATCAGGGAAAGAATCAGAGACTGACCGAGACACGTACGCCGGGCACTGGGAGCTGCGGGTCACCTGAGCAGGAATATCAGCTGGAGAGGGAGAGAGGGAGTGGAGAGCAGAGACCCGATGCTGCCTGAGCGGCGAGTTACCTGAAAAGAAGAAGAAGAAGACCACGACGACGACGACAAATAAGGAGAGGAAGAAGAAGAAGGGAAAGGGGAGGGGAGGCTATGGAGAAGACCTGGCAGAAGAAGAAAGAGAGGGAAGGAAGGGAAGGGAAGGGAAGGAGGGAAGGGAAGGGAAGGAAGGGAAGGGAAGGAAGGGAAGGACGGAAGGGAAGGGAAGGGAAGGAAGGAAGGGAGGGGAAGGAAGGGAAGGGAAGGGAAGGAAGGAAGGGAGGGGAAGGAAGGGAAGGGAAGGAGGGAAGGGAAGGAAGAAAGGGAAGGGAAGGAGGGAAGGGAAGGAAGAAAGGGAAGGGAAGGAAGTGTGGGTTACCTTGCAACTGATCACAACAACAGGCCAAGTTATGATCGCGCTGCCGAGTTAATATTAAACTCTCGTAGACTCCAGTACAACGCCAGTTTTTTTTTATACATGTGTTTATTCTCTCTTTATTTTATTTTATTTTATTTTCCCCCCCCCCCCCCCCCCCCGGGTTTTCCTTTCTCCTCCTCGCTCACCTTTAGACTATCTGCCAGCCTATCCCGGTGCTCGACTTGGTCTTTTACTTGTGTCTGGCACCATTACCTCCCTGTGTTCCGCGTCTCCGCCGTCGGTGTTGTTCCCCGCAGGCATCCAGAGTTGTTTATTGCATTTATTTTTTATTTGTGTTTAATTTTTAATTTTTTCGCTTTCTTTCGCTTTACTCTGCTTTCCTTTGCTCTGGTCTGGTCTTTTCTTCCTGGTAGGCAGGTTGTTGCTGGTCCTCATGTGAGCGAGTGAGAGAGTTGGAGTTGGAGTGGGGGCGGGCGTGTGATTAAAGGGATGCTCTCATGCCCCGGCTTTCCGAGGAGGCCGGGGGAGTCGGCAGGGAGGAATTGCTTGAAGTATTGTTGTCAATTTTACTATCCAGAACAGTCCGAACCACATCATCAGCACCATCTTCGTCACCGGAGTTGGGGATTGGAGCATGGCCGCTGCTGCTGCCACAGCTGTTGATGCGGTACGTTATGTATATTCTATTTTGTTGTGCTGCCTTGGTGATCCTGTGAACTTAAAGTTGCGTATGTGGGAACCGGGCAATCCTGGCGATATTGCGGCTCATTCAGTAGTGTGCTGGCGTTTTGGGGGAAGCTTGTGTTCGAGGTTAGTATAATTTTTCTTAAGATGATTTTGGTCAGAAAGCTTGTGATTGGCTGGGGAAGCTGGGAGAGGTGCGGTATATGGAATTCAGGGTGAAGAAAGAAGTCATCGAGGGTGGAAATGAGACTGCTGGATGAGGTGTGGTGTTTGTGGATGCCTGCATGTGTTGAAGGGATCTTTTGTGGAGTAAGCAGGCTTAGTTGAATGTGATACGGCATCGAGTGGCCGAGGATTGGTAGCTGCGGATGTTGTTTCTCGGTGCAGGGGTTGCTGGGAACAGGGTCATTGAATTGATGTTTTTAGGTTAGATATGGTGTTCATGGAAGACGGTAGCGGTACGGAGATGATTTTGAACGTGGGAACGTGTGTGTATGTATGTGTTGGGGAATGCAGGCAACTGGAACGGGGAGTCGGAGGGCAGTGGTGAGAAGCGAGCGATTTATGGAGTGGCAACGAGAACTAAGCAGGTCCGTGTCTGCAGTTCGTAAGCTTGGACATACGAGTGCATTGCTTACAACTGAAAGGTAGAGTTTTTTTGTTTTTTTGTTATATTTTTTGCTTTGTATGGTTTTGGTCGAGCAGAGGGGGATGTGGAGTTTGAGGTAAGACGGAGGGAGACGGATCCTCTGTGCGGAAGTGTTATGTTTTGAAATCATTTACGTCCGTCGTCGTCCAGATCGCGTCCAGATTTGCGGGGGAATGCGGATACCGTGCTTTTTATGGTTGACGGGTTTCTTTGAGTTCGTAGAGGATTTTTATATCTATTTTTAAATTTAAATTTAAATAATAGATTTTTCAAAATTTTAGGTTTTTAGTTCTTTTTAGTTCTTTTAGTTCTTTTAGTATTTTTAGTTTTAGTTTTATTTATTTATTTATTTATTTTTGGGGGCAGCGGCGGATCCTTATGGTGATTGGTATCTTGCTGATTGCGAATGTTTTGAGTGGAGTATGTCCCTACTTCAACCGAGTTTACCATACTATTGGTTGAACGTAGGACCAAGGTTGTTGTTGTTGGATAGGAGTTGATGTGGAGCCGTCGATGGCAGTGGTTCCATGTCTAGTGCTTGGGGTTGTTGTGGTAGCGTATGTGGGGCATTAGTAGTGGTTTGTGGGGGTTCATTGCGCTCATTGGGATTCGTGAATATTTGAAGGCAATCTTGGGACGAAGACAATGTGAAGATGCAGAGGCACGAGTTGTCCGAGGAGAGGGAGGGTGAAGGGGAGGAAGCGGGAGCAGATTTTCAGGCAGGGGCGGATGTCACCACCGCAACTCAACGACAGAAAGGCAAGAAAACACAACATCAGGGACAGCGGTCTGACGCGAAAACGCCTCGGAAAGATGAGGAAGGAGGGGAGAAGAAAAACAGTTTGACGACCATAAATGAGTCAGCGGCGGAGGGAGAGGGCAATGGGGGGAGGTTGAGACGATGCAAGCAGCAGGTGAACCAGGCATCTGCAGCGAGGCGGCCAGCAGCCCAGGTGCCCAGTCAACATGAGTTGCCCCAGCCCGTGGCTCGGAGGAGGCAACGACGTGTGCCACGGTCGTTTACTCCGCCCAAGGAAGATATAGAAAGGGGCTTGCGATCCTTTACAAGGTATGCTCAAATTACTCTTCGTTGTCGAGTAAGTTGGCTCCCAGTGTGTGGTGACATACTTAGTTGCTAGGATCTCATTGAAGTGATGAATGCACTGTAGATTGATTGCCACTGGACAGGCAGTGAAAATACAATTTCCTTGGAACACTATCATAGGCCATACATAGTAAGTGTTTTGTGAAACAGTGCCAGTGCCAGTGCCATTTTAGGGGCACTTACTATGCGGAATCGACCGTTGACATTCTTATTGATTTATAAACATTGAAGCGCTCTTACTTCTGTTCTGGTTCGTTCGGTGCACCTTGTGTGGAGGAATTTGCATGTTTTAGAGTTACTTGTTCTATCGAGTCAGTAGCATGAGGTAACGTATCAGCAGTTTTCCTCATGTGTTAAGAGATGAGAAGTGGGATGAGCGCAGGAATCGTGGTGTTGAGACTGTGCCTGCTACGACTAAAGCAGTGCCAATCAACAGTAGCAAAGGAGCTACAAAGCGGTCTAAGCGAGTTGCCCAACGCCTGGCCAACGAGGAACCTGCTCCACCACCATTGAAGCTGCCAAAGCTTCACCTGGTTCTGACACGAAAAGAAATTCAGGAAGACTGGTTGAAGATTACTGGTCACAAGTATACTGGAAAACCCAGAAAGTCTACGCTTATTCAACGGGTACGTCTTTGACATCCACGTCTACCAGATTTTGCGTAATCAGTACGAGTTCTTGTTGTTCATATCTGTGTATTTCTTGCCAAGCCAACGAGAGTATGACACTTGTTTAATGTGTTGACATCCACTCAAAGAAATCTGAAGTTGCTTGTTTTGGATGTGCCAGATGTGTGAGCGGTCTTTATCATTAATACCTTGAGAAGTGTCTTAGTTCTAAGGAATTGTTTGTCATCCCTCCGCAGGGTCTGGGTCTATGTACGGCTTTGACATGCCCGTCATCCATTCGATACCTCAACGAACCCCAATGTAGGTACTCATTTCCTCAGTTGTTAGTTACGATTGGGAATGTTTTCGTCTGTAATGTACAGGGCGCGGTGGCTCGCACACCATTAGCCTAAACCCCTCCCTCTTTGCTCCCTTATTCTCGTAGTGTTGCTTGTTTGTGCGTTCTCTGCTGTCTCAAAAGTAAAATTGATACTAGTTCCATCTGGCAGACGGTTTGAAAACGGAAGTGTCATATCGCATGGTTTTGACGATAATTTGTGTTTAGAGCGATGCAGTATTGCAGGTCCCTTGACAGCAGTTGAGAGCAGCATCGACATGATTCAATGGGCTTCACAGTTCGATGGATTGATAGTTTAGCAGATTCGTCATGGCTTCATTCTTTTGACTACCACATCAAATCATTGTTTGTGCCTCCAGTACTCGAAGATAGAGCATTTTGTATCATAATAGTGAATAATAGCGAATAGAGAGTTTAGAAGCAGGTTAGACACTGGTTCCCATAGTGGAGGACGATTGCTTAACATGTTAGTGGCCGCTGGTGTGGTTCTGCTAGGCTTGTATGACAAAAAGGGCGTCAAGTTTCACGACATGGCTCCTGGTCTTTTCGGCATCCCTGCCTATGTACGAGGTGAAGAGGCCTGGCGGAACTTACAATCTGCTGACGAGGTGGCTGCGCATCTGTATTGTAATTCAGGGTAGTCTCGGCGAATTTTATGATGTCCTCAGCTACTGACCTTGAAAGCGTGGCACATGAGGAGGGGCTCAGTGTCGGGCTGTTGAGCAATGTCACCGGGTTCGTAGTCGCTTAGCATTTTTAATCTCAATGAACTCGACATCTGACATTGATAACTAGATATGTGCAGTTGCTTGTTTTGTAAAGTATCTGCTTGAATGTGAATGGCATTGTGTTGTCTTCAGTGGCATAAGCTTGATTGTGTCGTCTGAATGCACTATTCATATATGCACCTTACTCTTAGCTTTTGTTAAAAGAAATTTGACAAATCAACTTTTGTCTAGGAAAACTTATTGCATGAAGCAATATTGTTAGTATTGAGCAATTTGAGGGATGCAACTTGGTAAAAGATGTGAGAATTTCAACTTCTTGTGGGGACATTATTGAATATAAGAAATTACATAAATTGGATGTTTTTAAAGAAGTATCATTATTAGTTTTTTTCAGCAATAATGTCAGCTGTGAGTAATATAATAAAACAGGTGTTTTTAAAGAATTTTTTTTTAAAATTTTCTAGGGTAATATTGTCACTTTAGCATTATTTCATGAATTATATAGGCAAAAATAATAAACAAGAGTATTGTGTTTTCAGTCAATGTAGTTAATTGTGTGTATTATTGTAAATTATCTGTAGTCAAAGAAACAAGATTTTTAATATTTTTAGATAATGTTCTCAGTTAGCAATTTGATAACTTTAGTGATAAAGAAACAAGGTTTTTGAATATTTGAAGCAATGTTTTAATTGTAAGCAACTTTCTAAAAAAAGTATCATTTAAGAAGTAAAATTTTCAGTTATACTTGGTAATGTTTTAATTTTGAGCAATTTGATAAAATCAAGTGCTGTTAAAGAAGTCAGATTTTTGATTTCTTGTAACAACTTTGCTAATTGTAACAATCTTATAAATAAAGAGCTATGGAGGTAACTTTTTTAATTGTTTGAAGAAACATTGTCAATTTTGAGTAATGTGACAAATGAAATATCATTAAAGAAGTAGAATTATAAGTTATTTGAAGTAATGTTGTCAATTATAAGCAACCTTTAAAATCAAGTATTAAAGAAATATAGCTCTTAGTTATTTATAAATATGTTTTTAATTATAAGTAAAATGTGAATTTAAGTATTTTTAAGGAAATATGAATTTTAATTATTTAATTATAGACATCTCTATTAGAATATTTTTATTAATCTATTTATAAAATAAATAAATAAATAAAAATCTAAATTCAAATATATATATATAAAGAGAGAGATTTTTTAAAGCCACATCCTCTAAGCCATGTGATAATTAATTTTGGAGGACAAGGAACAAGGATGGAGATAAGGAACAAGAGATGGAGGTTGGAAACAAGACAAGGGACATGGAATAAAGAACAGAGATGGAAGATAGACAAAATCAATCATGAGATGGTAATATAGAGTATGGCTTTAACAACTCCTTCTATATATATATATATATATATATATATATATGTGTGTGTGTGTGTGTGTGTGTATTTGTGTGTTAAATAGACTCAAGTTTTTACTAAATTGACCTATCCATCTTAACCATTATAAAAAAAGAAAAGAGAAATGACGTCTTGATTTATTTTTCCACTATTACATGTGCAACCAATAAAAACTAACCATGTTCATCATGATTACCATATTTTTAATAGAAAATAATAAAAAATTCTAAGCTTAAAATTTTATTAGATTAATTAATGTGAATTTAATAAATTTCTAAAAAAACCATCTTCTATTGATATCTAATCTTATATTGTCACAATAAATAAAATACATCTCTTTGTATATAAAACAACCATAGATACAATATTATTACTTTGATTTTTGCCTTTTACATCATCCAATTGTCAACAACATGAATTAAAAAAGATGCATAAACTTAAAAATCTATATCAAAAGAAAAGTGCCAAAATAGAAATAAAGTAGTATATATATTAAAAAAAACTGGAATGGCTATTGCCAAAAGATAAAGAAACTAAAGACTCTTGAATCTAAACTAGAAACAAGAAAGGAATTAAGAAGAATAAAGAAGGCTTCATTCTTGCCTCTATATATACTATCTATCTAGGATCTATGTATCAACATTCTATATGACCTCCAAAAATATGTTGACTATGCATGATATGTATTTTGACTTGCAAGGCAAGTTTTCTATATAACTGCCACATAGTAAGCTTGTTCTACAAGCTATCAATACATGTGATATATGGATAGCTTATTGTCCAAGTTTTTAACCTACTGTGAATCATCAAATTGACTCACTAATTGTTTTAAGATAAAAGAATGCATGTAGAGTGCCAAAATTATGATTTTTAAGTTAAGATGTGCTTAGTGTTATGGACATATATTTATTGTAATTGTTACCTACGTGGTATGAATAGATAGAAGTAGATAAAAGTAGATTAATTTCATAATATCTTCTAGAGAAGCTCCCTAAAAGCTTCATAGACGCTGTTTTGACTTTACATGTGTTTATACTTGATTGATAGGTTAAAACTTGGTCAACAAGTTAATCTTTGTGCCACATATGTTGGTAGCTTGCGGAACAAGCTAATTATGTGGCGCCCACATAAAAAGCTTGCCTTACAAATTTAGATACGTGTTGTACAAAGTCAATTCATTTTTGGAGGTCCCAAAACATCACCATGTAGCTCCTAGGTAGATAGTATATATAGAGGCAAGAGTGAAGCCTTCTTCACTCTCGTCAACTCCTTTCTTGCTTTTAATCTAGTTTCAAGAGTCTTATGTTTTTTAGTCTTTGACAATAGCCATTCCAATTCTTCCTTGAATATATATACTTTCTTCTATTTTGTCACTTTTTTTTTGACACAAATTCTATGAATTTATGCATTTTTTACCAGTTTGTATCCTTGACAGATTGACAAGAGTATACATATAATATTAGAGCTTTATCTTTTCTTCATTAAGAGTGGATTACTCCTTTCTCTTCATAAGACATAAGCGTATAAGAAGTTGCGGATTACCCTCTTTTAAACTGATATTATTCTTAGTATTTTCTTTGTCCTCAAGCCCTCTCTTCTATTTGTCTTCAATGATATTAGACATCTTATCTTTTTTAAGTGTTGTCATGGTAGAACTTGCTGAAATGGAGAGTGCAATGGCACAAATGCAAGAGCAATTGAGGGAGTTAATACTTGCAATGCATCAATTCAATTTACCACCACAAAGAGCAATAAGATTGGCAAGAAGTGAAGATATAGAAATGATTGGAGCTGCTTCAACATCTGCACCAAATCATGTTCCTCCACCGATAATAGAATATTTCTTTTCCTATGGTGGAACGCCCTTCCAATATTAGAGAAGCAAGAATTGTCCTATCCGAGAAGTTTGATCGCACAAGATTAAAGTTTAGAGGATTTATCAATCAAGTATAACTTGTGATTGAACTTCAATCCCAAAGCTATCCAACTCCAGGATCGCAAGTTAGATTCATTGGTACGCTTCTTTCAAGTTCAACATTATCATGGTATTCATCTTTTCTTGAACGACGAGATCTAATATTGGATAATCTGGAAGCTTTTTTGGTAAAGTTTCAATCCATGTATGGAGAACATGATGCAATTCGTGTTTCAACCATTAAGATCCATATTTTGCAACAAGGCAATCGATCAATAACATTTTATACTTCACAGTTTCAACAACTTGCAACTGATATCAAGTGGGATGATACGGCACTTGTCAACCAATTTTTCTACGGATTACAACATGAGGTAAAAAAATTAATGCTCAACTTACCTGATCTTCAAACATTGAGTCAAGTAATTGACTTTGTTGTGAAGTGCCACAATCGTCTTTTTGAATTTTGATCTGAGAATTGTATAAGTGGACCTCAATGTTACTATAATTCAATGGCAACACCAACATCTCTTCAACACATACATTCGGAAGTAGAGGATATGAAAATTGATGCAGTACATTTCAAACCTCTTATTGAGTAAGAAAAGACTCGTTGTTGTCAAGAAAGATTGTGCTTATATTGTGAAAAACCTAAGCACACTATTCAACATTGTCCAAAAAAAATATACAACCATAAAATGAGGAGTACGGCTATCAAAGAAGATAGTATGTTAAAAAATGAATTTATTCAGCTACAATACGGACAATGCAGTTGGAACCTTATACAATACCTAGTAAAGGTCCTATTTTCTCCTCAAAACCCTCTCTTTGTTTTACTATAAATGTTATTTTAGGACCTAAACATCACAAAGCCTTTACCTTGTTAGATTCATGAGCCTCAGCATGTTTCTTAGATGAAGAATTTTCTAAAAGATATAGCATACTTTTAGTGAAGAAAACTAAATCTGTTCATATAGAAGTCATGGATGGTCGTTCGTTATCTTCAAGAGATGTTACTTATGAAATCCTTCCTATAGAAGTAGCAACTAATGGTCATAGTAGCTTTGTAATATTTAATATCATTAGATCTCTCTCTAATCCAATCATTTTAGATTAATTATAGCTAGAAAAATATAATCCTAAAATAGATTTGACTTCTCGTAGTCTTGATTTTTCTAAAAATATAACTAAGAACATAATTAATCAAATAGAAAGTCATAAGTCTAGTACAATTAAACCTGTATCTATAGGTGCAAGAGCTTTCTTGCATGTTGCAAAAGAAAGATCACCTTGTGTCATTTATGCCACACTTATTTCTATTGGTAGAAAGACTTCAAGTGGCATTCCAAGCCAATATTAAGATTTTTAAGATATATTTGAGAAGAAGAATGTAGATACTCTTTTAGAACATCATTCAAAGACTGCTCAATTAGCCTTCAAGAAGGAATACAACCGCCATTTGGACCAATCTACAATTTATCACAAAATGAGTTGGCTATATTCAAGGAGTATATTGAAGAAAATCTGGCTAAGAACTTCATACACCATTCCAAATCTCTAGCTGTCATGGCCATAATCATGTAAGCTAATAATTACATATAGAAATAGGTAGAAGTAAGCAAAAGTAGGTAAAAGTAAGTTAATTCTATAATATTTAATATAAAAGCTTTCTAGAAACTTCTTAGACGCTGCTTTGACTTCATAGGTGTCTTTAATTGACTTTTTGGATTAGAAACATGGTCATCAAGTTGGCCATGTGCCACACATGTTGTTAGCTTGAAGATCAAGCTAACTATGTGGCCCACACGTAGAAAAACTTGCCT